GAAATTGTCTAGTTTATGGTCTTGAAGTGGTCTAGTTTATGGTCCTGAAATGGTCTAGTTTATGGTCCTGAAGTGGTCTAGTTTATGGTCCTGAAGTAGTCTAGTTTATGGTCCTGAAATGGTCTACTTTATGGTCCTGAATTGGTCTAGTTCATGGTCTTGAAGTGGTCTAGTTTATGGTCCTGAAATGGTCTAGTTTATGGTCCTGAATTTGTCTAGTTTGTGGTCCTGAATTTGCCTAGTTTGTGGTCCTGAAGTGCTCTAGTTTGTGGTCCTGAAGTGGTCTATTTTATGGTCCTGAATTGGTCTAGTTTATGGTTCTGAAGCGGTCTAGTTTATGGTCCTGAAGCGGTCTAGTTTATGGTCCTGAAGTGGTCTAGTTTATGGTCCTGAATTGGTCTATTTTATGGTCCTGAATTTCTCTAGTTTATTGTCCTGAAGCGGTCTAGTTTATGGTCCTGAAGTGGTCTAGTTCATGGTCCTGAAATGGTCTACTTTATGGTCCTGAATTGGTCTAGTTCATGGTCTTGAAGTGGTCTAGTTTATGGTCCTGAATTTGTCTAGTTTATGGTCCTGAAGTGGTCTATTTTATGGTCCTGAATTGGTCTAGTTTATGGTTCTGAAGTGGTCTAGTTTATGGTCCTGAATTGGTCTAGTTTATGGTTCTGAAGTGGTCTAGTTTATGGTCCTGAAGTGGTCTAGTTTATGGTCCTGAATTGGTCTAGTTTATGGTCCTGAATTGGTCTAGTTTATGGTCCTGAATTGGTCTAGTTTATGGTCCTGAAATGGTCTAGTTTATGGTCCTGAATTTATCTAGTTTGTGGTCCTGAAGTGCTCTAGTTTGTGGTCCTGAAGTGCTCTAGTTTGTGGTTCTGAAGTGCTCTAGTTTATGGTCGTGGAACAGTCCAAAGGTCATGTGGTGCTAAAGTTAAAGGTCCTGGAATAGTCTTGTCAAAGGTTGTGGGACAGTGCAAAGATCCTGGAGCGGTCTCGCTTCAGCGAGCAGCTAAAGTTTACCACCAAATATTTTATTACCTCTAATCAGATCAGACTCGTTGTGCATCTATATTTAGACATCCTAAAAAAAATCAACTCAGTGACAAAAACCAAAAGCCTCCATCTGAGTAAAACCAATCATGCCTTGTTAATCACAAAGGATCAGTTCACACAAACAAAACCTTTATAAAAAGATAAAACTGTTCCAACAGCTCAGACGCTCACCCCTGCACCYTAAACCCCCAACGAGTCCAGATCAGACTGCTCAAGAAAAAAACATTGTGATTCAAAGGAAGACAAAGAGACAGAAGCTCTGAAACGTCTGTGTTGATACTGACCCTGACGCTGCCGCGGCTTCCCACAGACATCCGCTCATCGTCGTCCGACAGCTGCAAGGAGAGGGAAATGCAGGATTAGGACTGAGGAATGGACACAGAGTCGACAACAAGCATCAACAAGAAAAACTTTCTGCTGAAAGAAATACTTTTTATTTTGGGCCAAAGAACGTCTAATAGACCAGTCGGTTTATCAGAGATACAAACCGTTTGGATCCGTGAAGACCGTGAGTACTTCTCACTGTCCTCCTGGAGGAGGAAGAGGAGGAGGAAAGATGGAGAAAAGGCCACAGAACAACAAATGAAGATGAAAATGGTTTTAGTTTAGGTCCAGTTGAAGGTTAGTGACTCAAACTGCACAGGTGATGTGAAAATATGTTTAAAGACAGAGGGACACGTGAAGCTGCTGAATTACAAAGTCAAACATCAAACACAATCCAGGAAAGAAACCCTGACCTTCAGTGTACAATCCTGAAACAGTCCAGTCAAAAGTCCTTGAATCGTCCAGRTAAAGATCAAAAAACAGTCCAAGTCAAAGGTCATGGAACAGTCTAGTCAAAGGACCTTGAATGGTCTAGTCAAAGGTCCAGGTACGGTCTAGTCAAAGGCTATGTTACAGTACAATTAAAGTTGCTGGAAATCAAAGATCATTGGACGMTCCAGTCAGAAGGCCTGGTACAGTTCAGATAAAGGTCATGGAACAGTTCAGTCAAAGGTCAAGGAACAGTCTAGTACAGGGTCTGGAACAGCCCTGTTAAAGGCCCTTGAAAGACCTAGAAAAAAGTCCTAGAATGGTCTAATCAAAGGTACAGGTGCGGTCTAGTTGTCAAAGGTCTTGGTACAGTACAATTAAAGGTCCTGGAAAGGTCCGATCAGAAGTCCTGGTACAGTTCAGATAAAGGTCCTGGAACAGTTCAGTCAAAGGTCCTGGAGTGGTCCAGTTAAAGGTCCAGTGCACGCTGAAGGTCTTGACCTGAAGGTGCCATCAACCATGCAGAGTTGAGACCCTTCCCTCCTCCATGACTGCATCCTGAGAGCCTGTCCATGAAACCTACAACCATGATCAAAGACCAGGGTTAGTCCTAGTGGAGTCTATGATTYTGGACACATTTCCTGTTCAGGTTATATTTTATTTAAAATAAAACTCAGATAAGGTGGTGCAYGTTAGTCAGACCTTATTAAAAACACACACATGCTGATCAGAACTCAATCCAAACTGGATTATCAAGCTTTGATTAATTTTAATCTCATATTTTCCATTAATGAGGGTTTAAAATGCACAGAGCACACTGTAAAAACATCCAACACACAACGAGCAATCTCATCGGTACCATCCACTGCTCTATATCTCCCCATCTGCTGTCGGAMCGCTCATCTAATCTGGTGTTTAACCCGTAGTATTTCTGCAGACAGGAAACCAGAGCAAAAGAGACCAGGCAACAAGTTCCATCATTTTCTGAGGTCCAGATCATTTATAAAAATGTGGTTAAAGGAAGCGAGGGAGAGCGGGCCTACCTTCTGCACCTGAAAGATCTACAGCGACAAACAACAAAACAGGAAAAGAAGAATCAGAAAAGTGTGATTTAGAGAGGATTTCTGGAGGGACCAACAAAAACCAACAAGAACCGACCCGACCACACAAGTTCATGGAAGACATCTGAGACCCAGCTGAGAGGATTCTTCATGGTTGAAAGTGTTTTTCAACATCTATTAACCTACTTCAGCTATTGTTTTCCTAAGCTACATTAGCTATTTTCAGCATCTTTTTCTTCCTTTAGCTACAGATTAACCAGTCCTAACGTGTTTATTTGGTTTGCTAATGTAGCTTCTGTTCTGCTAAATTTAGAAACAGGTTTGCTTTTAGCTACAATTTTGTCAATAGTATTATTTTTCTAGAGTTCTGCTGTATTTAATTTGTGTTTTGTCAATACTAGCTAAAGTTTAGCTATTTTTCTTCACATAGCTTTGAGTACTAACTAACTTTAAGACATTTTACATGTAAACAAACAAAGAAGAAATGATTAGGGGACTGCGTTCAAATACAGCTCATTTGTAATTGTTTAACAGAACTTTGTTTCTGTATAATTGTGGCTCTTTGTTGAAACAAAGATTTCACACATCAAATAAAACTATCYCCCACTGCTTCAGTCGGAGCTTGGAGTATCTATTGGAGATGACTCTCGGCTACTACCACACRCAAGTTCAYCTCATTATCTGTAAAACTGACTGGCTTATAGTTGGTTTGTGTTGGCTAAGATCTAACTATCAGCCTGGCATGGAACAGAGGTGATTTAAAAGCTGCAAGACTTTCTGATAATTCTGTCATTTATCACGATAATAAACAATAATTCTGTCATTTATCACGATAATAAACAATAATTCTGTCATTTATCATGATAATAAACACGATAATTCTGTCATTTATCACGATAATAAACACAATAATTCTGTCATTTATCATGATAATAAACACAATAATTCTGTCATTTATCATGATAATAAACACGATAATTCTGTCATTTATCTTAATAATAAATATGATAATTCTGTCATTTATCATGATAACAAATACTATAATTCTGTCATTTATCATGATAATAAACAATAATTCTGTCATTTATCATGATAATAAACAATAATTCTGTCATTTATCATAATAAATACAACATATGGTATTTATCACGATAACAAACACGATAATTCTGTCATTTATCACGATAATAATAAATATGATAATTCTGTCATTTATCATGATAACAAATACTATAATTCTATCACTTATCATGATAATAAACAATAATTTTGTTATTTATCAAGATAAATTGGATAATTTAGTATTTTATCACAATAATAAAAAAGATAATTCTGATATTCATCACATTAATAAATATGATCATTCTGTTTTTTTATCATGCTAATAAATACTATTATTCTGGCATTTATCATGATAATCCATCCATCTATTATCTATACCCACTTCTTCCTTTCAGGGTCAGCGGGGTCACTGGTGCTCATGTCCAGCCTTACTGTGTGAGGGACGGGGTACATAATTATGGCATTTATCATAGTAAATATGATAATTATGATACTCATAAAGTTAATAAATACTATAATTACAGTATTCATAAAGTTAATAAGTACTATAATTACAGTAATTATAAAGTTAATAAATACTATAATTATGGCATTTAACTGACTGAAAACAAACCTCCACATTCCCACCCTTACTGCTGCATTTTCCATCCCAGCCRTCCACAACCCTAATCCAGGATTTATAAACTCCTTCTCTCCTGCTCCAAMCTGAGGATTGGCTGCTGCTCAGTTTTAAAAATAAACGACTCTTTTCTTCCACAGAAACAACAGAACGAACGGCYTCTGAGAACCTCAAACATTTTCCTTTAACAGAATTTCAGAGAAGCTGAAAAGAAGCTGTAAAGGTCAGATTATGAGTCGGATTACATATTTAAAGATGTCATCAGAGTCAGATATAAGGAACTGTAAAGAAAACTTCCTGTTTTTACATCTAAAGCTTCTTCAAACTACTTTAAAAACAGATCGATCAGCGAGCAGAGGTTACAGAACCTCTATTCTGTGTCTGGACACTGAATTAATCCAGGTGCTGCCATAATCCCGCTCATCGATCAGGGAGCAGGTCTGGTTTATACTAACCGGTCTTCCCTTCTTGAACACAGGGGGCTTCGGGCGCCCGATGAGGGCGGCCCTCAGCCCCCTGCCCGTCAGCCGCCGCCCGGCCGTCCCGCCGCCGTCAGGGCACCAGAGGCGACGTCATGGTTCGGCGGTCAGAAACAAACGCCGTGTCCGGTCACACGGGGCAGGGTGACCTTTAGGCAGAGGGTCTCCTGAAGTCCGTCTTCATCGCTCAGGAAGAACGCTGCCTCGCCTCGACGCCACAGCAACAACAACAACAGGAAACCGACCTGCTAATCTCCTTTTAACTCGGCTGAAAGGTTTAAGGGTCACACACGCTGCGACCAGACTCAGATTATTAACCAGCGCTAATCCAGAACCTGTGACCCGTTCAGGTTCATGACTTCTGTTTCCATCACAGAATAAAACAAAGCTGAATATTTTCTCTCAAATCACCAAGAATAAAACTTATCTTTTCTAAAAGCAGAGGGATTAAACGTGCTCAGATTATTTAAAACTTTATCAAATTACAACTCTTTTAACCAGTTTTTGTCCATATTTTCACTCTTTACCTGACTTAATCAGACTTTTGGTTAATTAACTCAGCTTTTATAAGACAAATTGTAAATAATATTTATGCTCACAGGCTGGTGATCATGTCTGTTAGCAKAATATCTCTATAAATATCTGTTCATTAAACCCAGACGATAATGAGCTAAATTTTGGTGTGTGCGTTTAAACACACAACTCACACAGAACCTGAAGAGCTCCGTGTCACCAGGTGAGAGGACYCCTCCTGTTTGTGTTTCAGATTATTACAGACTAAGATTAGAGAGCTCAGAAAACCCACAGCCTCCCCGTGGAGAAGATCAGACAAAGAAGAAAATAAAACAAACTGCAGACACAACAAACACTAAACCTAAAGTTTTAAGGTCATTTCTGCAATAAATTTCAGAAACTGATGGATTTTATTTTACTTTCAGACAAAAAGCTTTAAACCCTACAAACTTCAGCATTTACACATTTAACCCTTCATATACCTTAAACTGAGCTTTATAAACTGAGCCTTAAAGATTTGTTCTGTAAAATTAAAAACAAAAATGTAATTATTTTATTCATGGCAGTTAGCTGTAACTGTTAGCTTCTGCTAATTTTTACTTGATTAAATGTTTAAACAAAAAAAAAAAACGAAGGCCTTAAAAACCAAACAGYCTGATCTGGAAAACAAAATGTTCGCCTTTCCTAGTTTTGACCACTATAATTGTGTTAATTTACCATTAAATTCCTTGAATGAAATGTTTTATTAAATATATTTACCGGTAGTTTGTTTACATATTTATGATTAAGGTAGTTTGTAACACAATCAAAACCTTTTATATTTGGTTCTACAGTTCTAAATTGACCCTGAAAAGAAGAATTGGGTGTAGATGATGGATGGATGGATGATGGATGGATGGATGGATGGATGATGGATATATGATTGATGGATGGATGATGGATGGATGGATGGTGGATAGATGATGGATGGATGATGGATGGATGATGGATGGATGGATGGATGATGGATGGATGATGGATGGATGGGTGGATGATGAATGGATGGATGATGAATGGATGGATGATGGATGGATGATGAATGGATGGATGATGGATGGATGATGAATGGATGGATGATGGATGGATGATGGATGGATGGATGATGGATGGATGATGGATGGATGAGTTTAAATAGATTTACTCAGTTTGAACAGGTTACAGGAAGCTGCAGTACTCTGTCTGAACACTAGATGTCGGTGTCTCACACTGAACCTGAAACATCAGGGTCACCTGGTTAAATGAACTGGGGTTAAATAAATCATCAATATTGATTTATTAGATTAATTTGAGACTCAGACCTTCAGGAACCACTGGTCTGAACTTTGACACACAGGATCAGAACCCACACTGAAGGTTTTCAGTCCAAACTAATAAAACTGATGTCTGATAATCTCATGTTCTGAGTAAAGATGGCTGCTTGAGTCTGTTTCCTCACAGACACCAGGATGTGACTGTGAGGTCGCGACCTTTAGGAAACGCCTGCCTCCGTCCTGTTCTGACCCGTTTACCTCTTTCTGCTGTCGCTCCAGCTCCTTCATGCGGATCTCCCGGGCCTCGGCTCGGGCCGCCCTCTTCGCCGCCAGCCTGGCCTCGGCCTGACGGAAACCAGAAACAGAAAAAACCAGAAGTGAGTGAAGAGTTCATAAATACAGAGACACGTTTGTTTCCTCCACAGAGAATATTCAGACCTCCTGCTGTCATGTTTCACTCATTAAAAT